TCCGCTTACTTGATCAGCATCCCCTGGTTGGGGAGTAACTCCAGATGAATCTTCCCGCCTTCCTGAGTTCTCAAGTAGGCGAATTCCTCCAGCATATCGATATCTGCAGGCCAGGTTCAGGGGAACCACGTGGGAAAGCGAGGCGCCCCGTTCTCTCGGAGGAGATGGGCTCGTGGCCAGTGAGCGACCTGCCCACGGCCACCCCACCAACACCCGCAGAGCTGGTCCCGGAACCCGGGCCTGCCGGGTCGCACCCCTGACCACTCCTCCACCAACCAAACGACCGCGCAAAGAGAACCACGTTTTTCACACAGGTGATGATTAAACAGGTCCTATGCAGTCATAAAGGCAAAACCTTTTGTTTCCTTAAGAAATGGTGCTGTTTCTGCCTCCAACTCCCCTGGCCCCAAAAGGTTAGGAAGTACTGCTCTGGGCGCCTGGACAGGTCCCTGCAACCCAGAAATGATGAATGAAGATAAGCAATGAAGTAAGAACACCAAACCTTCGATTCGAAGGTGGTCTGTCCGTAATAAAGAGTATGAAATACAACACTCCCTCATCATGACAGCAACTGGGGGCTGGGCGGCATCGCTGGGCAGGGGAACTGGGCCAGCCGGGACTGTAGCCACTGACCCAGGGGGCAGCCAGTGCCCCAGGGGAGGCCCCAGGGGCCCCCTTCTCAGATGAAGGCTAGTGAGCGGTTACATTCTGTGGCCCGGCCAGCCCTCTGCACCTGCCAGGACCCTGCCGGCTCTTACTTCAGGCATCCTGGGCACCTTCCTAAGAAGTGGCTGGAGGTGGAAAATGGAACAGGGCTCTCAATACTCCGGATTCCCCTTTGAAGCCTGTTATAACTTTCACAAGATCAACTGCCACAATCCCATTTTTAATCGCCATTCTGTCTCTTTTCCCCCCAAATCAAGGAAACCCTTATTTCTACCCCAAATGGTTCATTCATTTTTGTACCATGCATTCATCCTAAAACAAAAAAATTAAAATTAAAAAAAAAGAATTTCTTATGCTTAAACAAGAAAAAGGATACTTGTAACATAATTGAAAAAATTCTCATACTGGAAATTTCCCTGCTGGCAAATCTTACTGACGGCTTTCAGGAAAAGGGTCTCTCCCCGCGGCCACTCCTGCTGAAGCAGCACGATCACGTGCCCCAGGGCCATGTCGTCCCTGCTGTCTGTGAAAGCTCGCAGCTGCAAGATAGGGGTTTATGCAGACACGGAAGGAAGAGGAAGTCACGGCTGATCTAAACAAACCAAATATCTCTACTCCCCCCCATCAAAAAAAAAACGCTGTCATATGGAAATGTGGGACAAAGGACACTGGAGTCGGGAGGGAACAAGCAGAAAACGAGCCAGCCTTGCAGACATCACAGCTGGCGGTGAGGAGGGAGGGTCTCTGGGCGCCTCCACGGGCACCTCGGCGGGAGCTGGACGGGCCGAGCTCTGAGTGTGGGAGGGGCTGAGTGGTTCTGGACCACAGATGAGGAAGCCCGCCCACTCTGGGGCTCTGCTCCCCCCACTCCCCCTGCAGCCGAGGCCTGGCAAGCCTTCAGGTCGTGAGGCCCTCCCAGCTCTGCTGGGCCTGGGCACGTGCCCATCCGAGTGCCGTATCATCACGGTCATTAACTCACCTTCCTCTCTGAGCCCAACAGTACTTGCGTCCCCTTCTTCTGGAGCTAATGCACTCTGACTCGTATGCTGACTCATGAAACACCAATGGAGCACTACCCCGGGCCAGGCTGTCTGTGCATCCGTCCCACGTGCTCTAAACCTCTCAGGGATGGGGTCCTCTCCTCCTCATCTCTGCCCAGCGTATCTGCTAATTCCTAGCCCTGTGCTGTCCTCGCCACACCAGCCTGGGCTTTCAAAGGACCGAACTAGCGTTCGTGCTCAAGGCTCTTGATTTAAGTCATTCCAGATCATCGGAAAAAGTCTAAATTGAATTCCTTTCACACGAGTCAATTTGAGGCTTACCTTGAAACAAGCTAACATTAAATGCAGGCAGTAGGGCATGATAGCCTTGCTGGTACAGGGGAGAAGCTTCAGATCTGAACCTAACAAAAGTCCACAATGTGCTCGTTAGTGGCAAAGAAAAGCTTTGAAAAGCAGACGTTTAAGATGCTTTCCTTAAAAAAGAAAAAAGAGGGATAAGTAGCAATCATATGATCTCATATACAGTTAAACCAAAATTATATTTAGAGGAGGTGAAATTGGTTTTTGAGTCGTCTCTGGATTTCATTTCTCAACCTAAAGCTGCTTCACATTTGAAATATACAGAAAATGACAGAAAATGTTACAAACACGACTGTGCTTAACACTCAGCTTTATAAAATGTTGATATTTGCTTTATATTTTTATTATGTCTTTTATGTCTTTTTTTAAGGGGGGGTAGTTAGGTTTGTTATTTTTTAACAGAGGGACTGGGAATTGAACCCAGGACCTCGTGCATGCTACGCATACGCTCTACCACTGAGCTGTACCCTCCCCTCCCTTGACATTTGCTTTGGTTTGCAAAGATTTCAATATAAAGTGCCACAAATTCAGTTCACCTCTCATGTTCCTCTCCTCCCTCCCCTGAGGTGACTGCTATTCAGAATGTGGGGTATACACAGGAGTGATAAACCCCACACAGGAATTTTTTTTTTCCAAATGAAGTATAGTCGGTTTACAACGCTGTGTCAATTTCTGGCGCACAGCATAATGCTTCAGTCATCTATATACCTACATATATTCCTTTTCATATTCTTTTTCACTGTAGGTTACTACAACATATTGAATAGTGTTCCCGTGCTATACAGTGGGTCGCTGCTGTTCACCTATTTCATATCTAGCAGTCAGTATCTGCAAATCTCGAACTCTGATTTTTCCCTTCCCACCCCTTTTTCCCCTCTGGTAACCATGTTTGTTTTCTATGTCTGTGAGTCCGTTTCTGCTTTGTAAATGAGTTCAACTGTAACACAGGGATTTTTATTCATACACCCCCAAGAGAGAGGTTTTGCATGTTTCCAGCCTATTGCATAAACGGCATCACAGCGAACGTATCCTTCCGCAGGTTGCTTCTGATAGTACCTGTGGCTTCCACTGGTTTCCAACATGACAGTGCTCTGTTGGTTACCCAGCCCACAACTGACCTGTCTGTTCTTTTATGGTGAACACGGAGATTTCCAAATTTTCACTATTACAAACGGTGCTGAAATAGACATTATTATGGATATTTTCTTGTGCACTTGTGGAAAAAACTTTAAAGGCTGTTTTTCAAACCAAGACTTAATCTTTTCCCTTACAGTGTTTGCTCTTTATATCCTAAGTTCTTCTCTACCCCAAAGGCAAGAAGTAGCAAGAAATAAATGCACTTTTCGCAAGGGGGGTCCTTGCACACACGCTCACGTGTTTATACAGCTGACCCCTGAACACGGGTTTGAACTGCACGTGTCCACTTCTATGCAAGTTTTTAAAAAAAATGTACGTACTCCCTGCATTTTCACTTTACAGATCCTTAAATTCACTTAGCTGGGGGGTAAGGTCTGTGTGGGATTAGAGATCACACATGTGGAATCAAAAGAATGAGAGTTTGATCTTGTAATAACCTGTAATGAAAAAGAGTATGAATATGAACCTATGCATATGCATGACTGGGATATGATGCTGTACACTAGAAACTGACACATCGTAACTGACTACATGCCAATTAAAAAAATTTCAAAAAAAAAAGATCTAGGGTTTGAGCCCTGATTCTGTCCAGTGTTTCAGCTTCCTGCGCTGGGGTGAGTCACTCCACAGTTTCTTTTGTTTTTGATGTAGAGAGAGATGTGTGAGGATTTTCAACTACTGGGGTGAGGCGGATGAGGGGGGAGTCTGAGTTCCTGGGTTAAACCTCACATTGTTCAAGGGTCAACTGTATACTTAAAGCAAATATTTGTAAATGAAATTTCCCCTTTTTACTTAAGGTACATTCATCTTAGTTAACAGTGTTAACAGTCTGTTTCATTAAGAAAGAAATTTCCTGGTTGAAATTCAGGACCAACACTTGGAAATCACTCATCCAAGGTCTATACCCAGAAGCATCACATAAGCAAGAGGTAAGATGCTCTGTTTGGCTCTGCTAAGCTGGTCTCCATGGTGACCATACAACTGCGCACCGCCCTGAGAACGTGGGCCATGTGCGTTTTCACACCCTGACTGTCAACCCAGCCACTCCTTACTCTCCGCATCCTAGTGTCAAGCAGTAGCTCTTCACTTTAATCAGAATTTCCCGCCTTACTAAGAGGTGGGGAATCTTTCCAAATAGTTTTTGGCCCTTTGGATTTCTCCTTCTGTGACTATATTGTTCACATTTTTGCCCACTTTGGGGGGGAGTGTTTTTCGCTAATTTTAAGGAGCTCTTTCAAAATTCTGTACACTAAGTTTTTGTTGAATACATGAGGCGCTGGACAATTTTCTTATCGTGTATGGCTTATCTTTTCCCTTTGATCATACTGTCTTTGGTTGGTATTTTCATCTCAACATAAGCAAATTCACTCATCTTTTATGCTTTGTGCTCTCTGTGGCCTAAGTCCTTCTCTAATGAGACGGCATTAAGTTTTTCTTCATTTTTCTCCTGAAAGTTTAGAAGTTTTAGTTTTCATATTCAAATCTTAAAAATGTAAAGGGTTTTTGTGTAGTACGAAGAAGGTATCTCTTTTTTGTTTGTTTTTACATTCGGATCATCAGTTGTAATGCTACCACTTACGGGATAGGTTCATTCGCCCCACTGACCTGTAACGCCACCTGCTTCTTGGCTCTCCATTTCCCGCTGGTGGGTACTGCGCTTTAAAGTAAGTCCTGATGCCAGTTAGGTCAGGTCTTACCCACCTGATCTGTTTCTGTTCCACAGAAATAATTTTTGAAGGGGTCTGGGTTGTACGTTCCTAACCTTTTGTTATGGGAAATCTCAAGCATGTAAAGAGTAAACAGAATAGTACAACGAACTCCCATGTACCTCAAAAAGCTTCAATGACTATCAAAACTGTCATGCTTTTGACTTCCGGAAAGCTTTTAGTGTCCTAAGAAACCTGCCACAAAGATATGTCCTTCTAAAAGTGTTAGTTAGCGTTTAGCTTTCCCATTTGGCCTCTTCCGGCCCCAGTTAATTTCTGTGAATCCTGTGAGGCAGGGGCCGAGGAGCCTCGGCCTCCCCCACGAAAATCCTGGGTTTAGCACAACTTGCTGAAAAGGTTTTGCTTTCTCCACCGAACTACTTTGGTGTCGTGACTGGAAACCACTGGCCCATACTTCCGCGGGTCTGTTTCTGGGTTCTCCACTCTTCTGCCAGTACTCTCTAGGTATCAGCAGTGAGTCCTGTATGGCAGGGTAGCTTGTCCACTTCTGTTCTTTTTCAGAACTGTTTTAGCTGTTCTAGATTGTATTTCCATAAAAATTTTAGAATCAGCTGGTCAATTTCCACCAAAAAAAAAAAAAAGTCAGGATTCTCATTGGGATTGTGCGGAATACTGCAGAGACATCTGGGGGAGAACTGGTACCCTAACAGTAATGAGTCTCCTGACCTACAAACGTGATTCTGCACATCGTCCATTAAATTTATCCCTAAGTGTTTTGGGGTTTGATGTAATTCCATTTGGAGATTCTTTCGGCTTTTCTACGTAGCCAAATATATAGCTGTGAATAAAGATGGTTATTTTTCAACCTCTATTCCTTTTTCCTGCCCATAGTATGGGCTAGAATCTCCAGTATGTGGACTTGAGGCACTGTTCTGTTGCTGGTCTTGGGAAAAGCATTCGACATTTTTCACAGTTAAGTGCGATACTGAGGAAGTTTCCTCCTACTTCAGTTGGCTAAGTTTTTGCTCATGAATGGTAAGCGCGGACATAACTGAATTCTGCCTGCATTTATTCGGGCAATCTTACGATGCTGCTCTGCTAATCTGCTGATGACGTGAACTGCAGTGGAGGACTTCCCCGTGTTAAACCTGGTCGTATGTCCGCTCGCGTTCTGTTAGGAACGGTGGCACCTGTGTTCCTGGTGGACACCGGGCTTTACCGTTCATTTCCCGTAATGTTCCTGTTTGGTTTTGCTTTTACGGTTATGCTGGGCCTAAAAACTGAAGTGGGAAGTGTTCCCTCTTCCTCTATTTTCTCAAAAAAAAAATGTGTACAGGGTTGGAGTTATTTCTTCCCACATCTTAGACAAGATTCACCAGTGAAGCTATTTCGACCTGGAGTTTTCTCTGTGGGAAAGTTTTCGATAACAAACTTAATTTCTTTGATAGACATAGAACACTGAGATTTTCTGTTGCATTTTGTGCCAGTTTTGCTAAGTTGTGTTTTTCAAGGAATTTGTCCATTTCACCTAAATTGCTGAATTTATTGCATGAAGTTATTCGTGACTTAACTTTCTGACTGTCCTTCTGATTATACTTGGATCTGGAGTGACAATCCCTCTTTCCTTCCTGAGGTGGGTAATTTGTGGTCATAAGAGCCTGATCTTGTTAGGGGCTCATCAATTTCATCAGTTTCCTTTCAAAAAATCTACTTTATTAGTTTCCTCTGTTTTGTTTCCTAATTCATTAATTTCTGCTCTTTATTATTCCCCGTTTTCTACTTTGCTGGGGCTTAACAGCTTCGCTTTTTCTAACTTTCAAGGTGGACCTTAAGATCAGAGACAGTGGGTCTTCCTTCTTCTCTTATAAAGCGTTACAACTCAGTTTACACAGTTCTTCCAAGCAATGAGCAACTTGAGCACCTTGAGGTGAAGCTCAAATCAGCCCAGGAGGGAGATGCTGACAGACCCGTCTTAACTAATCATCTTCAAGTTTTCCTAGAATTGGTAAAGATGGGAAAAGGAGTTCACCCAGATTCTCAAAGAAAGAACAAATGCAGAAGAGAACCCTGGAAGAAAGACAGAGTCACGGCTACTTGTGACATCACAGCTGAGAAGCAGCGTGGCGGGCAATTCGCTGCTTCTATGATCTGTCAGGCCCTGGGGTCACAAGTGGCATCTTGTAAGGAACCACAGAAGATTTCCCAGCCTTGGGCCCTATATCTGTTTTTACAAAATAAAAATAAAACTTGTCACTGTACCTTTTCTAAACTTGGGCTTTACTTTTGAGGGTTCTTCTTGTGGTTTGCCTCCATCTTGGATGGGGAGGACCATGTGGCACATCAAATCAAGGACTTTCTCGCACGTCATCTGGAGCAGACAAGAGCAAAAGAAACCACATGAAGTTTCTGACCGAAACCAAATCTACGTGACACTAAGACACTGGCAGCACGTAGCGGGGCGATCTGCACGGGGCTGGGGCACTGGGGCCTCCGGACCCCGTGTGACCATCACTGTCTGCTCGACAGCGAATGGAGAAAAATAACCAAGATTAAACCTACGTACTAGACCATTCAGGGAACCGTAACTCAATTCTTTGCTGTTAAAAAACAAAAGAACAAAACAAAAATTCATCAAGTTTTATCTAAACCACCAAGGTAACAGCAGAAAGGCATCCAGAAGAAGCATGTCCCCATCTTAAAGACATTTACTAGCTCACTGAATAAAAATTCACAAAGTGGGACATATGGTAGAGGGGTAAATGGTATGTTTAGAGAACAATTTAAAAAGAACTAGAAATACACAGGCTAAACAGGAAACGTTTCAGGCAGGAAGGTTAGCCGGATCTCGGCTTTGGAGGGGGAAAGGGTTTGCAATGTAGAAAAGAGGAAAAAGGGTCTTCAAAAGGAGGAGAGAAAGATGCGGGGAAGGCTGCGTTCTGGTTTTGGGGGTTCACTGGAGGGAAAGGGGGCGTGATTTAGGAAACAGGTGTGAACCTGGACTGATGACAGATTTGCTAGTGGGTAAGAGGGGCCCCAGGGCCACACTGAGCAGTGTGGTCCCGACCCACAGAGAAGAAGGCACCTTCAGTCTCCCCATCAAATTCCAGTGGTGACGGTCAGAGGTCAGAGTCCGCCCAGGGAGCACCCTCTGTGTGCCAGGCACAACCGCCTCCTATCCCCATTTTACACCCGTGTTTCCCAACCTTTTTCACATCTTAGCACGTTCAGAAAATGCTATTTGTAAGGCTGCTCAGAGATGGCAGCACGTGATCCAGGGCTTCAGCTGCCCCGAGGCCGAGGGGTCGGAATCTTGGCACATCTAGAACCCACTCGTGGCCCCGGGCTTGTGAGGTTCCAGCTTTGGGAGGTGGCAGCTGAGTAGGTAAGAACTTGAACCCTGGACTCAGACGGCCTTGTCGGGTATCCTGCCCCATGTCAGAGCCAGTAGGGGTGGGGCCGGGAGTTAACTCAGAACCATATCCTACGACGCCCAGCTCCAGCCAACCGTTCCTGTAAGTCTATCCTTGAGGACACGGGCCCCAGTGAAACCAGCCTTCTGCACCATTAATATAGGATTTGTACCATTAAATTACCATTAATATTGGATTTTTAACTATTTTATATAAATACCCGCACTTTTCTCTCCAACTCAAAGGACATGTCATTGAATGCAGGGCTCCCCCGGGCCCACACCCTCCTCGTGCCCCCCGCCCGAGCACACAGCTCAACTCAGGGCACCCAGGAGGCCAATACTTCAATTAAGTGGAGGGATGACAGCAGTATTTTAGAGCAGTGACCGTAATTTATAGGGTTGGAAAAGAGGTTCCAGGCAACAAACTCGGTTAAAAGCCATGGGTTAGAGTGGTGGCAGTGGAAGCAAAAGCCACGGCACCAGAATTAGCGGTGCCATCCCGGAAGGGTCAAAGGGATCAGCTCGAGTGGGAGCCCCACAGGACCTGACAGCTTGTGTCTGAGGCCCAAGAACTAAGGAAATGCACATGAGGACAGGATGAGCTCCAGCTGAAGATGGGCAGTGAGACTCCGGGATCACATAAGGTAGAAACTGAGGATGAAGGCCTGGCAGCGATCCACTCAGAGCAGGTGCCCGAAGCCCTCGGAGAGAACGAGTTTGCAGAGATGACCCAACCTACCGGCCTATTCCCTGTTCCCTGCTAAGGTGCGGACCAGAGGGCCGTGGGCAGCTAACTCTTTGTGATGTGTGTGTTACCTTTGTGGGTAAGTATGTGCTCCCTTACATTCTCAGAAGGAATTAATAGAAACTTCAAATGATGTACCTGGTTGACGACATAAAGGGTGGTAGAAAGCATGTCAGTTTTCAGTGGACACACTTTACATACTTGCTAAATGTTTCTTTCTCAAAATCATCATGGCAAAATGAATCACATTTCAAAGTTCATGTTAAAAAAAATCTAACTTAGTGATCAACTTAACGTACAGAGAGATGAGAAGAAATCCAAGTTTGTGTGTTAGGTCGTGGTCTTGAACTGACCCAGGAACTGTGTACAAAGACCATGCTGACGACCCTCACTGAGCGCAGACATTTACTGCGGACGGGGGTGCGCCCGCCCCTGCGGCAGGAGGGGCTCCCGGCGCGGAGGAGCCAGGCTGTCGCACGCCTGCTCCTGCAGCACCGCGGGGAGGTGCTGTTTCCCCGTAAAAAGAGAACGTGACGTTCAGATAAGCTGTCGGGAGTCTGCTTCCCAGTTGGTGAAGGCCTCTCTGTCCAGGTACCACGGGGCTGACTCCACTCTAAAGGGATTCCCGGCAAGGAAGTAAAAAGCACCCTCCAGCAGACGGAACAAGGAGCAGGCAGTGCGAACAGTATGGAAGCCTTTATTTTGCGGTTGGCTTTATTCCCTTGATAACTATGTAAGTTTGAAAAGCTAAAGCTCTAGTTTGTTCTTAGAAACAAGGATCAGTATATATATGTAAACTGAAACAAATGTGCAGTGTACTGTATGTATTTACATGCAATATAATGTGCAGGTGCAGTCCAGCTATAATAATTCTACGTTTCTACCTAATACAACAAAAAAGGTTAAAAAAAAAAAAGGGAAAGAAAAGTATGGAAGCCTAATTTCAGGAAGATGTTGTGTTGTAAGGAGGAAATGAAACAAAATCATCCAGATTTTCACCAGTAGATTGGGTGGTAAAGTCGAGGCAGATGATCAAGTTTTAAGTAAACATGTAAGGAATTAAAAAGCCACTCAGGGCGTAGGAGGAAGCCCCGGGGTGGCTGAGCACACCTGCAGGTCCCCGTGCTCCGGCACCCAGTACTCACTCTGTACTCCCCCAGAGCGAAGTGGCAGGTGGCCAGCTGGATGAGCGCCCTCTGATGCTCCAAGGTCCCCTGTCCCGAGATCTGCGGCTGAGGGACTGATCCCTGGAGAGCTGCCAAGTGATGCAGGCTGGCTATGGCCTTTTTATACTGACCCTTGGAAGTCACAGCAGCAAGGAGGGAAAAACTGCCATTAAAAAAAGAAATCTCTGACCTAATTAAGCAACTTGCAAGCAAGTACAAATCAGGACCTCTGTGTAATCAGGGAGAAAGAGGAGACTTAGCAACAGAGCCAAACCAGTTTGGTTAAAGCAAGATGGAGGGTCTGTATGGAAGTACTTCATAAATACAAAATACTAAATAAAATAACATCAGCCCTTTGATAAAGGACATCCTGGATACACCATTTCTTCGTAAATATTTTACTATGATACCACCTCTCCTTCCTGAAGGCTGGAGGCCGCACCTTGTCCACTCAACAAGAGGCTGGAAGCCCTTGTCTTCTTACTAAACCCTCTCTCCCTTCTAGGTCTGAGCACCTTGAGGACAGCAGAGCCAGGCAGAAGGACCCCACCAGGGCAGAGAGGAGGGGTGAGGAGTGTCCACCTTTTACTGAAAAGGAAAACTCTTACTTCTACAGAGGAGTGTGACTGGACACCCCAAAAGCAACACAGAAGATGTGGCCTTGTCGTTTGGAGTTATTCTGACATGAAAGTGGACCACGATCTCATCCCCACTGAAGACAGAGCATTTGCCCTTGGAGGGTGGACCAGTCCACGGAGGGCACATACACCCCTCCACGCTGAAAATGCTTGCAGTAACAAGGGGCCTGTCCAGACACAGGGACTTAGACACACATCACTCTACCTGATAGATGATCATATCATTCAGGAAGATTCTCAGCCAGAGCCAAGTATCCGTCTTCCACGCCAGACAAATTCTTGTAAACTCTGAGCAAGAATTCAAAAGCAAACTTACCAAAAACATGAAACACAAGCAGAGAATAAAACTGACAAACCCATCAAGAGAACAATGTTCAGAGAGACAAATTACCAAAAAACGGAAGGAACTTTAGGCTTTGGTTTCTAAAACAATGGTCTAGTGGGGAGAGTACAGCTGCAGAACTATAAATGGCAGAGCACGTGCTCAGCACGCACAAGGTCCTGAGTTCAATCCCTGGTAACTCCTCTAAAAATAAATACACAAGTAAACCTAATTACCTCCCTACCTCCCCCCTCCAAAAAACAAACAATGGTCTAGACTTTCAATTAGACAGGAAAGTTACAATAGGATACCTCCCAGTCGCGCATGAGCAGTAGTTTCATCAGGCATCGGTATTCACTAAGCACATAGCATATGCTAAGAGCTATGAAAAATGCTTTTCACACATTACTCACTTATCTTTTGAACTACTTTGTCTTCACTCAGTTAGAATAATAAATACATGACACTAAGAGTTTCACTTTTTTAAAAAGTCAATTTATAACTAAAGAAAAAAACCTCTCCAAAAGCCACACACCTGCTCTCAATTCGAGGTGTGACAAGGAGAAACCGAATGATGTGATGTTTACTTAGAAAATGTGACATGATGCATCAGACAAGGGCTCTGTAGAGGCAGGGTGACAGAAGCAGGCCAGGGACAAACACCCACTGGCCAAAGGGAAGTAACGGCCTTGATTCCCAAAATACAGAAAAACATGCTGGTCAGCAAAGCGCGAGTGATTTCTCAGTGCTGAAATGCACAATGGTGTCAGCTGCATACGGAGAAAACTCCCTTCAGGTTATGTCTACACTCAAACAGGCTTCCTGCAGTGTTTGGATGTTGGGCTTTTCAGGCAGTGGCGCTAACGCAGGCAGAAAGAGTGCCACCTTCTGTACCGTGAATTAGTGTGACTGGAGGAAAAACAAAACAGGGGGAAGGAACAGCTAAAAGCACAAAACAACCCCAGCAAGAAAAAAAAAGGCCAGCAATGTAAATTTTAAAAAACCAAAACCTCCCCCTCAAACTCCACCCCAACCCTGATTATAATATACCCTCCGCGTCGGAGCTAAGAGGTAAGTGGTTATTTGGATGTTAATAACTGATGAGGTATCCTCGCGAAAAAGATTCCTATAAAGTGTGCGCACTACTGCAGTCAGTGTAATTAGCCTTAATGATGTGACATTTCAAGCATAATGAACCTTCTGGCGCGATGATTTCATATAAAACGTGGACCTGCACAAGGGGGCGGGCATAAGAGCTTACCCTTGTCAAGGAATTCTAGGGAATAGAGCAGCTCCCAGCTCTCTCGGGCCAGCTTAAAGCTCTCTAACACCTCGATCGAGTTAGCAAGCTCTGCCTTGTTGACAACAATGTGACGGTTCCTTCCTTTTGCTGGACAGTCTTCATCATCCGAACTCTGCTCAGGGAAAGGACCATGATTAACTCAAAATGATCAAAAGAGCCATGCACTTAAACACTACCATGTTTATTACTGCCAGTTCTCATTCGCATCTGAATTTTCTCTCAAAAGATACTACCATGAATATAATGAAAGTTTTTCTGAATTGAACAATTTAGCTGTAAAAATATAAAATTTTCATTCTTTCATTCTCACACACTCAAGTTTTACTTTTTAAAATCAAGTTTATGGTCTCCTGATGATAAATCCTAAGCTTATGTTGGCTTCAGAGTAAAGCTACGGAGTTAAAACTTCCAGTCACTTAAAAACATATCAACTCAAAGCCAAAAATGAGATTTTCACATTCAAGGATAGAGCTGAATTCAGTAGCCCCTGCTTTATAGCTTACTTTTTTCCCCAATATGTGACATCATCTAATCTGCGTCCAACAAATAGTTTGTTGTGTAACAGAATTTAATGAAAGCCTGAGTCCTGTAAGAAATAACCTGGAGAAAAGAAGGTCACGTATCTTGTTTACGGCACGGAACTTCTCCCACAGCTGCCCAATGCAAGGTGCTCGGCCAGGAATTACATCTGCCTGCAGTTATCCATTAACGCCCTCTGTATTTTATAATAAAGATTCCTACTTTTCTGGCTCTTCATCTCAAGCAATACAAAGCCAAAAAGAAGAGAGGGCCTCAGAGGACGGCAGCCACTGCAAATGCCACTGGGTATGGTCCGACTTTTTGCCAAAAGGAAGTAAAGGCGAAAACTCCACTTAACTTTATTTTGCTAAAAATTTCTTGAATCTTTTACTCCACCCAGGGTCATTTTTATTAATTCAATGACCCCAATTAAATCCTCCCTGCAGATTTATATCCCCCTAAGAGCATTTTAAAATACATACAAATATTTCAGCTAAAAGGTTCAATCCTCATAAACAAAATCGACAAACCTCTAGCCAGGCTCACCAAGAAGAAACGAGAGAGGACACAAATAAACAAAATAAGAAGTGAAAGAGGAGCAATTACACCTGACACCAGAGAAATACAAAAAAAAAAAAACAATAAGAAAATACTATGAACAGTTATACGGCAACACAATGGACAATCTAGAAGAAATGGACAAGGTTCTAGAAATATACAGCCTGCCAAAACTGAATCAAGAAGAAATAGACAATTTGAACAGACCAAACACTAGAGGTGAAATAGAATCTATAATTAAAAAAAGAAAAAAAAAACAAAAAACTCATTGCAAACAAAAGTCTAGGACCAGATGGCTTCACTAGGGAATTCTACCAAACATACAAAGAAGAACTCATACTGATCCTTCTCAAACTCTTCCAAAACAGTGAAGAGGAGGGAATTCTCTCAAACTCATTCAGTGAAGTCACCATCATGATGATACCAAAACCAAAGACACTATCAAAACAGAAAATTACAGGTCAGTATCTTTGATGAACATAGATGCAAAAGTTCTCAACAAAACATTAGCAAACTGAATCCAGCACCACACAAAAAAGATTATTAAACCACACTCAAGGGGGATTCATTCCAGGGTCACAAGGATGGTTCAATATATGCAAATCAATCAATGTGATACATCACATCAACAAGAGAAAGGGCAAAAACCATATGATCATTTCAATAGATGCAAAAAAGCATTTGATAAAATTCAACATCCATTCATGATAAAAACTCTCACAAAGTGAGTACAGGAGGAACATACCTCAAGATAATAAAAGCCATTTACAACAAATCCACAGCCAATATTATACTCAATGTTGCTAAATTCTGGAATAAGATTAAGGATGCCCACTCTCACCACTTCTATTCAACACAGTATTTGAAATCCTAGCCACAGCAATCAGACAAGAAAAAACCAAGGTATCCAAAGTGGAAGAGAAGAAGTAAAAATGTCATTGTATGCAGAAGACGTGATACTCTATACAGAAACCCTAGAGACTCCACACAAAAACTATTAGAACTAATAAACGAACTCAGCAAGTTAGCAGCATACAAGACCAACATACGGAAATCTGTTGCATTTCTTTACACTAACAATGAAATATCAGAAAGAGTAAAAAAAAAAAGTTTTCTAAAATCGCATCCAAAAAAACAAAACAAAAACAAAAACCAAGGAATAAACCTTACCAAGGAGGTGAATGACCCACACACTGTGAACCATAAAACACTGGTAAGGGAAACTGGAGATGACACAAAGAAATGGAAAGATATCCCCTGCTCTTGGACTGGAAGACTTAATAATGTTAAAATGGCCACAGCACCCAAAGCAATGTACAGATTTACTGTGATCCCTATCAAATTACCCAGGACATTTCAACAGAGCTGGAACAAATAATCCTAAAATCTATATGGGATCACGAAAGACCTAGAATTGCCAAAGCAATTCTGAAAAAAAAAAAAGAACAAAGCTGGAGGCATAACCCTCGCATACTTCAGACAATACTACAGAGCTACATTAATCAAAACAGCATGGTATTGGCATGGAAATAGACACATGGATCAATGTAACAGAATGAAGAGCCCGGAAATAAACCAGACCTCTGGTCAATTAATCTCTGACAAAGGAGGCAGGAATATATAAAGGAGAAAAGACAGTCTGTTCAGCAAGTGGCACTGGAAAAGCCAGACAGCTGCATGTAAATCAATGAAATGAGAACACTCTCTCACACCACACACAAAAACAACTCAAAATGGCTTAAAGACTTAAACATAAGACATGACACCATAAAACTAGAAGAGAACATAGGCAAAACATTCTGACATAAATCACAGTAATAGTTTCTTAGATTAGTCTCCCAAGGCAAAAGAAATAAAAGCAAAAATATACAAATGGGACCTAATCAAACTTAAAAGCTTTCGCACAGCAAAGGAAACCATAAACAACACAAAGAGACAACCTACGGACTGGGAGAAAATACTTTGCAAACAATGCAACCAACAAGGGCTTAATTTCCACAATATACAAAGAGATCATATAACTCAACATCAAAAAGACAAACAATCCAATCAAAAAATGGGCAGGAGACCTAAATAGACATTTCTCCAAAGACATACAAATGGCCAACAGGCACATGAAAAGATGCTCAACATCATTAATCATTAGAGCAATGCAAATCAAAACTACAGTGAGGTATCACCAGTCAGAACGGCCATTATTGAAAAGTCTACAAATGATACATGCTGGAGAGGGTGTGGAGAAAAGGGAACCCTCCTACACTGTTGGTGGGAATGTGGACTGGTGCATCCAATACAGAGAACAGTATGGCAGTTCCCTAAAAAACTAAAAAAAGAGTTACCATAAGATCCAGCAATCCCACTCCTGGGCATATATCCAGAAAAGATGAAAACTAATTTGAAAAAAATATACATGCACCCAATGTTCAGAGCAGCCCTATTTACAAATAACCAAGACAAGGAAGCAACCTAAATGTCCATCAACAGATGACTGGATAAAGATGTGGTATGCATACACAATGAAATATTACTCAGCCAGAAAAAAGAACGAAATACTGCCATTTGCAGCAACATGGATGGACCCAAAGATTATCATACTAAGTGAAGTCAGAGAAAGACAAATATTATGAGATCACCTATATGTGGACTCTAAAAAATAACACAAATAGAACTTATTTACAAAATAGAAACAGACTCACCAACATAGAAAACAAACTTATGGTTACCAAAGGTGAAAGGGGAGGAAGAGTGATAAATTGGGAGTTTGAGATGAACAGATAAACACCACTAGGTACAAAACAGATGAACAATGATGTATTGTATAGCACAGGGAATTATATTCAGTATCTTGTAATAACCTGTAATGGAAAAGACTGAAGCTGTACCCCTGAAACTAACATGAAATTGTAAATCAACTATAGGTAAAAAAAAAAAAAAAAAGGCCCATCAAGCTAGTTTCAGAGAATACAGGCACGTCCTTCCCACCACCTACCTTCTCCCAATTCCTTGACAGCCGGGACCCTCCCCCCAACCCCATTTAGCGTCACAGTCTCATTACCTGCCTCGGTAATGATACACACCCCGATCTGTGTCTCAGCCAAAACCCCCCACCTGTCAGGCATCCTTGTTCATCAGGGTCCTGCTCCCACCACACGTGCACCATCTAGTCAGACACAGTAACACTAATGGTGTGTTCACTGGTGTGGAAACTTAGGGAACACTTTCCTGCCTCAAAATGAGATCATGAGTTAACAGAAGGGGACTCAAAAATGGTGGGGACAGTGTAGAGTTCCAAACAGTTTGTAAAATGTAGAGAAATTGGCTCTGAAATACAAAAGAACATTCTGGGGCTCAGACGGGATGCT